GCCAAAGGGCTTCCAGGCGAGGGTGGCGAGTGCCCAGCCAGACGGCCTGGGAGATCTGACTTCATTTGGGTCATTTTGGGGGTGGCTTCAGCATCTAAGATGTGTGGCTCCATTAAAGTGCTTTTGTGGTGGCGATTAAAGTTCAAGACTCTCTCCTTAAGATATTAGACTATCTATTGAATTGGCTTGCACGATATTCCTCTTAAATCGCTGAAATCCAAAGTGGGCCACAATATATATGTCGAAGGCATAATAATTCTGTGGCCAACTTTAAACAAATGATATTCAAAGCAAGGCAGAGGGAACGGATGACTCCTACACATCCATTTGGGCCTTTCGAATACCATAAAAAGCAGTCATAAAACCCTTTCCGCAAAACGGAAATCCCGCTTCAAAACAAACGCCATTAAAAACGAGGTCATGCTCAGTGGCATGGCCATAGGGACACATGAGAATAATGGAAGGAGAACTGGAGGAAGTCAGGGAGTTGGGAGCTGGTGAACGGATGGCTGGGGAGCTGGGGGTGGTTAAGGATGAGCTGGTGTTTGGGAATATCGTTTCAAGGACTGCCGAAAAGTCAAACAAAATTTACAGTCTCAAACTGCACAAAAATTTCAAAGTTGAGGCAACAACAAAAAAATAGGAATAACAAAAATATAATATTTTAAAAGTGCTCATAGGGAGCCGGCATAAAATATGGGCGCAGAAAGTTCAAGTTTACGGTGGGTGGGGGCTATGAGAGGATATGTATATGAACATACATCCTCTGAAGTGTCTGTGTGGGTGTGTGTTTTCTAAGGTATTTATTTTCATAACGCAGCACAACATAAGGAAGCAATAAATTTAAGCTGACTGACGACAGTTTGCATGTGGATGTGGTGGGTAGGGGCGGATGGGTTAGGGTCCTGCCAAGGATATGCTCTGTTATGTCTGGCTTTGGCTTAGGCGGCCTGCTGTTACGCCTTCTCATCCCCCTCTTAGAAGTCCCAGCCCCTTTATAAACCTTGCCATGTGTCGTAGGTAAAATGCCAACAGTCGTGTCTGCACATATATTGCATAGTTATTGTTTTAAAGCTTTAGCCACACCCCCTCCGGCATGCCCGCCACTTGGTCTCCGTCATTTAAATAAATTTTATGCAATTTAGTTAAGCTGCTCCATCTCTTTCTCCTGCCATAAAGCCTCCTCTTTCACTCCTTCGTCACGGCTGCTGCACTTTGGTTGAGTGAGTAAATGTCATTTAAATTTCTTGTGCCTTCTCACTCGTCAGCAGCGTATGTGTGGCATTCCAATTTCTTTTCGTCCTGTATCGTATCCCTTTTACAATCCCTATAAAGACACTGGAAAAAATAAAATCTAATTTATTGTTTGATTAATGGAAAAAGGAGGTTTATCTGCAGGAGGCAGGGCTTTGATAAAAAGAGAGATGTATCAGTGAAAGATAAATGGTTTTAATAGTTTTAAAAGCCTAACTAATAAGCCTTTAATTGATTTTTGTCATTTATTTATTGTTCTAATTAATATATTAAATTTCTTTTTAAAAAGTATAATTTTTTTCTATCTGCATTTGCAATAAAATATTTAACAGAGGGAGGCAGGGGCAGATGCGTAGGAGCTCGTTACCTCCCATTTGTGTTTTGTGTTTCGTGAGTTTTTCCTTTGGTCCAAAATCCCACCCATCCAATACACCCATCTAACACCCACCCATTACCCTCCATAGTATATCCGCCCCAAACCCCCTGAATCTTGTCGTATGTCACCGGCAACTTGACTGAGTTGTTAGTTTCACCGTATTCCTTGTCTCTGTGTGGTATTTGGTTTTTTCTTTTTTTTGTTGCCCCATCACATCATAAAAACGTGTGTGCTATATAGCTTTCGTTCCTGTTCTTGTTGGGTGGTTCAAGTTATTTATGTTTGCCATGTTGCGTTTGTCAAGTTTTTGCATTTGAAACAGACGCGCTTGAAAGCATTATGACTTAATTCTTATATGGCGCTCAGACATGATACGGATACGTAATCCAAAGAACTGAGTTCCAAATTCTCGTCCTTCCAATTACACTGTCCGAGATCTCAGGTATTTATTTGCAAGACAAATTCATTGGTTGCCAATAGCCTGGCAGTCTAATTGAAATAAACTTAATTAAAAATGTCTTGACATGGCATAAATCTCAGGGGTGTTTGCCACCTGTACTTCAGAGAAACATATGCCAGCAGCTGCTGCTCGGGCTCGTGCTCGGGCTGTGCTTACGGCCAGCCTCAACTATTTATTTGCACAAAAAATATAGCAAATGTCAAATGTGTGTTTACACACGCACCCAGAACCAGAGAACCCGAGAACCGAACTTGGGGCTGCCTTAAAGGTAACAACAAAGAAAATTGCTTTAGTAAATCCTAACGAAAATAAACAGAAAACACAACTTGAGTAGCAAAGCAAACAGAACCCACCTGCCCTACCCATATTCCTTTCCTAGGGGCTGTCCTGGGGGAAGCGATGGGAGGGTATCCTTGCATTTGCAAAAGTCAAAAAGGGTTAAGGCAAGCTCTCCGAGTGTTTATTATGTGTGGGTGACTAGGTGACTAGGATGGTTTGGGTATGAAGAGGAGTCTCAACTCCGTGCCTCCGTCAACTCCACTCCATGCCACACTCTACACTCCAAAGCAAAAAAGCTCTTACGTGAGCGCTCTCATATTGCGCTGCCTTATGTATGACACTTAAACATGCAAAGCTGCTTGCCGAGATGATTTATATTAGCCATGATTTCTAGCAATTTTTAGCACTTTGCGTAGCGTCGGAGGTGTTGATTGTTGTTGAAATTTCTGCCGCACCAGATGACGAGGGGACAGGACGAAATAAGTGGTTATATGGGTTCCACGCTCAACGCTCCACGCTCCCCGGTGACATATTTCGGGCCATGATAATAAAAACTTATTTGACTTTTCTACTTTTCTGTTCTTCCCCTGAGCAGAGTGATTACATGGGGGATGTTGTGCGAAAGTGGCATTACCAGCTGACGTAAAGAGTTAAGGCAGATGCCAGCGAAGAGGCCCTAGACACGGGCCCCGAAATTAATATATCTTGACTTGCACTTAATCCCGCGAAACGATACTGACAATTCTGCAGGATCCTCATAACCGGCCGGGGGGTAATACGAGCCAAATGTTGGCCAACTGCTGCTCGTGCGAGAGCGCCAGTAAAACAATTACAGGCCACAAAGCATAGTCCTTGCCCACGCTACGTATACGTAATGCGGGCAAGAAGGCAACTGTGGGCGCAAGTGGGAGTGGCCGGCCTGCATAGTCGCCCAAACACACGGGCACACTTGGGCTATCAAATTAAGTAATTGCATAATTGTTTCACTAGCATTTTACTATGCCCACGGGTGGCCAAAGTGCCGAGGCACTGCCCCATCACCCCACCATCCAAGTCACCCTCCTCTGGAAGCTTCCTGCCTTTGACTTGGCTCTTTGTGTGTGCGCCAAGTTTCTTTTATTTGCCTTTTGGTCGATGGCTAATCCCCGCCCGCCTTCTGCTACGTGCCTGTCTTTGAGTTTTTCGTTTTTGTGGCTCCTATTTTTTTCTTTTCCCCCCTGGCCGACTGCCTGCCTGCCCCCTCATAAATCACCGTCAAATCGTCGAGGGCTTAGCCCTCCGGAGCCCTTCTCAGACCTACTCCATGGCCTTTAATTGTTTTGTTATAGACACATATCCGTGCGATTCCGTGGCCACGCCAAATGCCGAATGCAAAATGCAAATGCCTGCAGACCGCAAATGTTGTAAAAGCCCGCCGTACCTGCCGACCAGCCAAGTGTTCCTCCAACCAAGTGAAGTCCTAGCGGCCAACACAGCTGAAGACAGTGGTTGAGATTGGAAATATTTTAAAAATGAAGTACAATAAATATATTAAAAAATATTTTAATTTACAGATGACATCTTTTAATGCCATTTTTGATCTGGTATTTATGTCTTTCTATTACTTTTATTTTTTAGCTTTTAATAAGGCTTCTAACCCACTGTTTCCTGGCCAGGCTACTTTGTGGCACCCATTCCCTGATAAGGCCAACCGAGCGGTCAAATATGGCGCTAACATTATTAACGTTGGCCCTTGGATGTCTGTGTTTGTGGCTCAGAATCGTATCGAGCGTGTGAATGCGGCAAGGTAAGTATTTATATATGGGTTGGCTATTTGGCTAGTAACTGGTAAGAAACCCCAACTATGATACTGTGTGGAAACACAGGCCACTATATCCAATTAAATTTCTCAATCGCTTCAACCCCTTGACTTTCTAGACTCTTTGTTTATTTTTAACCCATCTAGTGTTAGTGGAAATCGAACATTTGTCATTTTTAATTACAGGCACTAAGCCCTGATTGATCTACTTCTTGGGATAATGAAGATCTGGCTGGGGCACTGGATTTATAGTCAGTGGGGCGTTGAACAGGCCATTTGTTGCGCCTCATTGCTAATTTCAATATTATTTTTGGAACTCTCATAAGTTGCTTCTGATTTTTTCTTCCCTTTCTTTTTTTCGTTGGTATTATAATTTTTTTTTCCTGGCTGCCTCTTTGATGCCACGAACTGTTGATGTCTTTATTGCAGTTGCTGCAAGTTTTTGCTGTTCGCATTATAATTTCCATTTCGTTTTCATTCAGTCGGAGATCAGCATCTTCACGGGGCTTTGGCTGTCTATAATTGGATGGTCTGCTACTCGATCTCAAAGGGGAACTCGTGTGCGAGTGCAGACTTTTAATCAAGATCGAGGGTGATAAATGACAGTCCCCCATGGGAACTGGGAAACCAATGAGAGGCGTGCCATTGATGTACCGTCTGGAAATGCAATCGGATGTATATATACTCATATATATAGATATATATATAGATTCATATATATGAATCAATTCAATAATCATTAATCACTATTGCCAAGCGACATTAAGCCTAATTTCCATAACCAGATGGCATTATGAATGAGAAAATGTGCTTACACTGAATGAACTTGCTCTTTATTGATCGTTTAGAAACATTTCATCGTAGGAGAAGTAATAGAAAAATCTGGACAACCTGTCGACACCCATGCGGCTAAAATAGGGCAGGACCCTGGACTCCAGTTCGTTCCAGAACTCCAGCCAGTGCTCGTTCATCACCCGATTGACGGCTATGGTAAGATCAGTGTTCCATTCGTATAGATTATCCAGCCAGAGAATACATCGATCGAAGTTCACTTGAAAATCCATATCATAGACCCTCAAATAGCGTTTTCCTTGCCGGAACTCCACGAAAACCTTGAAGAAAATATTCAAATGGAAGTTCTGGAGATCGACGTTCAAACTTCCATTGCCCGATGCCCTGAATAGCAAAAGTTTTGTTTCAAAATCGAATTGAGCCACGCATTCAAGGCGGGGTATCTTAACTTCGATCAATATTTTCTTCTGGGTCGGATCCCGCTCGAACCCTTTGACTGATAATACGGTGGAGTTTTCAAGTCCATTCAGGGTGAGGTTTTTCAAGTTGAGGGTCAGGCCAATTGGTAAGTTGCTGGAGTCATTGAAGAGAGGGAAGTTGGGTCCGGGAAGCTTGTTAAAGGGCCTAAAGTATGTCTTTGGTATACCCTTGGCAAAGGTCTTGATATAGCCATTTAAACTTTCAACCAAACATGTTTCGTTTCCATATCGACATCGCTGGATGCTAAATGCTGAAAAGATCAACTTTAATGGTCTTAATGGTCTCATACCAGCATTCAGGTATGAACTTACGCATCTCCATCCATGAAGACACCACTGGGAGTATTAGGAGCAGGAATAATCCAAAAGGGTACTGCATTTTAGTCTGGTTTCTGCCACTGCGAAATCAGAACTAAGCCCAGAAAAAGTCTAGTCATAGACGCCTCTATGAACTTCCCTCGGATTAACATAACCCGCTGGGTCTGAAGGGGGATTCACTTTAAAATGTTTTATGGGTCCAGCTACAGGCGTCAAATCAATGTTTATAATAGGGCAACTCCCCCTGCACTTGGAATACTTGGAAGATGAAATAGTTCGCTGACGCATTTAAACATTGAACGATGCAGCGTTCATAATAATGAGCTGCACATTGCCCCGGAATGTGGGGTGGGGACTTCGAGGCTGATGGGGAATCAAAATCAGAAACAATACCGCTGTTGCAACATAAACAAATGCAAGTATAAATCGTAAGCCGACAAAGAGAACTCCGTTCGTCAGTCAGCGTCTCGCATTCCAAAGCGTTTGCCTCAAGTCTGAAGTGGATTCTGAGAAATTTTCGCAAAAGTGCGTTGTGTTTTTTGCATATCAAGTAAGCGGGTCCAAAGACACAAAACATTCAGTACTCATACTCACAATGGGAAGCCCCAGCTCCAGCCAGGGAGGCCCTTGACAGGGGCTAATAGCTAAGGTCAACAATTAAACTCATTCTGTCCCTCAGCCCATCAGCCCAACTGTCTATCCTCGGGTCTGACAACTGCAGTGCCATCTATTTGCAATGCATTAATTTTAGATTGCCCCGGAAAACGACCCTCGGCGTTACTTGAGCGCTCCCTGGCCCGGTTTCGGTCCCGGTCCCGGACCCGGTCGCTGGCAGAAATTCAAATTTGAATTCAAACCCAAACACAGGAAAAATCAATCGCCCGCACTGTCAATGTGCCCGCATTTTCCGGCGCTGCTCGTTTTGTTTCTTGTCGTATTTTCATTTCATTTCATTTGATTTTATTTTGGGCTAGGGCCTGGGCTTTGCTTTGGTTGAATTTGGTTTGGTTTGAGGAACAACATTTCACCTTACCCGGGGAAAATCCAATGGCGCGCCAACTATGTAAATATTTGTCACGACCGCATGACAATATTTGTTCAGACTTCAGTCTTTGATTTACTTTTTATGTCAATGGTGTGGCGTTCGAGTTGACAGTAACTAACTGGCAATCTCTTCAAGTTTAATAATACATTTGGCAGAGTATCTAAGATTCGTTGCACTCTCATATCACTGTCCTTTCAATATTGTTCTAAGACGTCTTAGTTGGGAAAGCACTACACCCTCGAAGAGATCTTGACTGTCTCGCATTTGTTTGTTGTTTTAGTGCATCTTGTCCCCAGTGCATTTCCGCTCGGATTCCATCATAAAAGTATCTCGAATTAACAGAAGTAAATCAGAAAAACATTCAGTTGGCGGGGCCAGATATTGTTGGGCAAACAAATAAATATCTGCAGCAGCATGCGGCCCGGTATTTATGATAAATACGACATATTTGGTCCGCCTACCTCATACTTCAAACCCAATTCTGTTTGTCAGGCAGCGAAGACCACGATATGTCAGAAATGCAGATGTATTTCCAAAAGCTATAAATAATGCGATTCACCTTTGATGAATCCCAGCGGCAGGTGTTTGGCTGCGGTGTGGTGGCTTTACTTTCGTAATTTTAATTATTAATCAAGAATTTAATTCACAGAGACTTTTGAATAGAACTGTCCTTCCAGCAGAATATTTTCAAACATCAGACACAACTATACATATGTGCTTATATTTTTAATTTTGTTGATTGCCAAATTGTTGATTTTACTCTTGCCTCACGATGTTTGCCATGGTAAGTTCTGCATGGAGTGCTCAGTCGCAGCCAACCCAGTGCCTCTGCTACCTCCCACCAACTATGGCCGACTGTTGGGACAAAGGCGATAAGCTTTTCGCGGACAGCCTCCGGTTGGACATCGAGGATGTCACTGACAGTGTCATGAAGGTGATGCGGATCTGCGGATTGCGTCCCTGGGAGGTGAAGCGGAGTGCGGAGGTAATCCGCAACTCCTTAACGCATTACGAGGAGGTACGGGAGCGGATCGATCTAGTGCCGAGGAAGCGCTTCGCCAAGGAGACCTTCCTGAACGGGCTGGCCAAGGAGGGCCAGATGAACAGGATGGACGCTCAAATGGCCTACGCCATTGTCAAGCGGGCCTTTAGGGCTCTCTACTATGGAACGGGTCAGGGGGGAAAGCAGTACATCTGCCTCCAGGTCGTCTTGGATCACAGCCAGGAGTGTCTCTGGTTGCATGCCGCACGCCGCACGGCAGCGATATACGCCGCCCTCACCGGACTCATGCACTCCGAGGAGCAGCAGGTCGAGGAGCGCATTGAGTGCGTCTATAAGAACCTGTTCGATGTCCTGCAGACTAGAGTTGTATTTGCCGATGACTGGGTCTGCAGCTGCGATATAGAGCCGGAGAGCAAATCAGTCACTAATGCAGTCTCTACGATGACCACGCAGGTGGAGGTCCTCTATCAGAAGCAGAACTTGGAGCTCAGCACCGGTCCCTCCGCATTGACGTACCAGCGCCTGGAGATAAACCGGTCGGTGGATTCGGACGAGCATAGTTCACACTCTCGGTATAACTACAGCCTAAGAAAGAACCCTAACAAAACAGAATCACGAAAGCTTTCAGAAGGCCCTAGTAGTAGCACCGTTGTCAGCCAGGCGAAGTGCAACTGCCCCCCTTTGCGCTGTTTCCGCGAGGCGGGAGAGGCTCGTGAGGCCCCGGAGATCACGGCGGAGTGCAGCCAGGGACCCTTCATTTGCCGCTGGCTACCGTTTACCGAAGAGGACGATAAGTTTGAGGAGCACTGTGCTCCCTACCCGCCCATTGAAGAAGTGTGTCCACCCTGTGTGAAGGAAGACATCTCCTGCGACTCGGAGTGCACCTGTACCTGCCACGACGGCGACGATATTGGCGAGGAGGAAAGCATTGGAGAGAAGGCCTCCAAGAGCGGAGTGGAAGACTACGACACCGACTACTGCTGGCTGGCTCCGTTCCGGGGCAGCAGCAAGGAGAGATTAGACAGAAAGAAGCAGAAGGCTCAGCCAGAGGTGGCGCTGGTGAAGGTTACTAAAGAGAAGGAAATATTGTCCAAGTGCTGCTGCATGTGCAAATACAAGCGTGATTTTCCTCACCTCTTCACTTACCTGGCACCCTTCAAGGAGGAACCAGAGAAACAGCCAGAGCCTGAGGCATCCAAGCCAGAGCCACTGCAAAAACCTTTACCACATTATAGTGAAAGCGAGGATCTGCTTTCCAAAGCTCCACCACTTGGTGTCTCTCTGGCGGGCTATCGCTGCTGGGTCAAGTCCAGGCCCTCGACATCCTCTGAATCGCAGGCAGAGGAAAGAGGTCCACTTATAATGGTTTGTAGCCAAGAACAAAGGGTAGGCAAGGCAGGAACAAAGGGTCCGGATATTATCCTGACCACCAAGACGCAGCACCATCCGAACTCCGGAAAAGCTAAAAACGCTGCTCCAGCCGAGCCTCCAGCCAATCCACCAGCCAAGGTGCCGCCTAATCCAACACCTTCTAAGACCAACAAGCCGGTGTCGAAGCCTCCTGTGGCTCCCAAGAAACCTGAACAGCCGGGAGAGGAAGAAAAGCTTACCAAGGAAGACATTTTAGACATTATTGGCCTCAGGATGAAATAGATTCTCGAGTCTAAGCTGCAATGTAATAAGTCCAACCTGAAAAGACCATCCAATATAATATAATTAAAAATTTGAAAGTTTTTGTTTGTGGTATAGATTCTAACCCCACGAGGGATACGGATAATCCTCCTCCACAAATATAACTTTGGAACGGTAGAAGAGGCTTTATTTAGATACCTCTCCGTAGGACTGTTTTTTTTTTTTTCAATAGGCTATAGTTGTCTATGAAAATTGTCACACATCAGTCCCTTATAGGCTTACATTCATTTTTTATTTTATTGATTACAAAATTCTGGAACTTTCCCTAAAACATGTACACGGTAAGTTCCTCATGGAGCAAGCAGTCGCAGCCAGGACGTTGCAAGTGCCACATCCCGGGACACCGGGATTGTGGAGATGATAATGATCAGATGATGGAAGAGTACCTTCTTCTGGACATCGAGGACGTCACTGACAGTGTCATGAAGGTGATGCGGATCTGTGGGCTGCGTCCCTGGGAGGTGAAGCGGAGTGAGAGGGTAATCCGTAACTCCTTGACGCATTACGAGGAGGTGCGGGAGCGGATCGATCGAGTGCCGAGGAAGCGCTTTGCCAAGGAGACCTTCCTACACGGGCTGGCCAAGGAGGGCCAGATGAACAGGATGGACGCTCAAATGGCCTACGCCATTGTCAAGCGGGCCTTCAAGGCTCTTTACTATGGGACAGGACAGGGAGGAAAGCGGTACATCTGCCTCCAAGCCGGCTTGGAGCACAACCAGGAGTGTCTTTGGTTGCATGCAGCACGCCGCACTGCTGCGATACACGCCGTTCTCACCGGAATGATGCACTCCGAGGAGCAGCAGTTTGAGGAGCGCATCGAGTGCGTCTACAAGAACCTGTTCGATGTCCTGCAGACAAGAGTCGTCTTCGCCGACAACTGGGTCTGTCACTGCCAACAGTACAATAGCAAACCGGCCTCCACTGGAGTCTCTTCGATGACCTTGGAAGTGGAAATCCTCTACCAGAACATGCAGCTGAGCAAGGGAACCTCCGGTGTGACCTCCCAGCGTGATTTAGGCCAGGCAGCAGGCACGATCCCACCCAGCTCTGCCCCCTCACGGCATAACTACGGTCTAAAGAAGACCCAGAACAAAGCGGTATCCCAGAATGAGTCCATGGACTTCAGTGCCAACTCCATTCTTAGCCAGCCCAAGTGCAAGTGCCCCCATTTGCGCTGTTGCCGCGAGGAGGGCGAGGCTCGCGAGACTCCGGAGATTACGGCGGAGTGCAGCCAGGGACCCTACATCTGTCGCTGGCTGCCGTACACCGAAGAGGACGATAAGTTCGACGAGCACTGTGCTCCCTTCCCGCCCATTGAGGAGGTGTGTCCACCTTGTGTCAACGACGAGATCTCATGCGACTCGGAGTGTACTTGCACCTGTCAGGTGTGCACGTGTCGCCCGCACTTCGACGGCGACGATATAGGCGAAGAGGAGAATCTTGGCGAGAAGGCCTCCAAGAGCGGAGTGGAGGACTACGACACGGACTACTGCTGGCTGGCTCCGTTCCGGGGCAGCAGCAAGGAGAGAATGGACAAAAAGAAGCTGAAGGCCGAGCCTGAGGTGGAACCGGTGAAGGTGGTCGCCGAGGCGAAGGAAGCCTTGTCCAAGTGCTGCTGCATGTGCCGATACAAGCGTGAGTTTCCACATCTCTTCACTTACCTGGCGCCCTTCAAGGAAGAGCAGAAGAAAGAGCCAGAGCCCCCAGCAGAGGAAATCAAAATTCTCCAATCCAGTGAAAGTGAGGATCTGCTTTCGAAGCCACCTCCACCTGGTATCTCCCCTGCGGGTTATCGCTGCTGGGTAAAGTCCCAGCGCTCGCCAACTTCCATAGAGCAGGTGGAGAGACCGCCACCGCATTTGGTTTACCATGATCCCGAAATAGAGGAAGCTGCAGCTCCTCCAGCCAAGGCTCAGAGTGCTCAGAAAAAGCCCACTAAGCCCCGTGCCACTGCGGCTGCTGCAGATACTGTCAAACCGGATGAAGGAAAGTTCACCAAAGAAGACATTCTTAAAATTATCAACCTGAAGGCTGCCAACGAATACATGTTGTGATATTTTGAAAACAAGCCCTGTTACCAAAGAATTAAGACTATAAATATTGCCGGTCAAACCTGAGAAACCCGTAGAAACCAATATAATTTATTGAAAGAGAAAACGACAAAGTTCTTTTGATTCTGTAATATTTCGAACGGAATTTCTTCCATTTTTGGGTGACAAATCAAAGATTTTCGCAGTGACACCCCCATATGCACACACAGGCACTCAATTTCCGGCACTCAACTGATGTCAAGGGGGGGAGAAATCAAAGTTGGCCAACGCAATTTGCTCTGTGGATAGTTTTTGCCAAGTTATTTGATATTTTATTCTATATTTTTATTGTCAAGGGTTCTGTTGCATATTTCTGTGTGCGTGTTTGCATTTGTGTTTTTCTGTTTACCCAACGAACTGTCAATTGATTGTCAAATTATAAATCGAAAGCGGTCAGCTCGAATGGGACGTCGAAGAGGGTCCTTTGAAAATGTAAACTGTTTGCTTTGTCGCCACTTTGCAACTTTGTGATTATGTGTGCATGTTGTCAGAATTTTGAGGGGCTGGGATCGGATCGGAATCGGAATCGGATCCGGGTCCGGAATCGAAATCGAACCACTTCAGCTGCAAAACTATGCGAAACATTATACAATACGCACCGGAGGAGTTTCGGGAAAATAGGCAGCCGGACGGCGGGATGGCGGTACGTGAATCACTTCCACATTTCTGACACACGATATTTTGTATTGTGTGCCACATAATAGGGGCGTGGTCACGCCCCACAATGGACAACATTTGGCCAAGTGAATTACAAAATACGATACGTTATATTTGCATTGTCGATAGTTGCTGGCGGGGACAAATCTCGTTAAAACCAAATCACGTAGGAATTTCATTTTGCCGACTTTTCAGGAATGGGTATGGGTGCTCCCGAGTGAACTTTTCCGGCTGTCGTAATTGCAGACAAATTGTGAAAAGTATTGCCTGACATGGGCGGCACAATAGGGGATTTGTTTGGCTTGACAAGGGGCGCTGGAAAGTTTTGTGACAGACGCTTTTAAGCAGAAAATTGTTTGCTCATAACTTTTGACATCGCATCGCTGGCGTGAGAGTGGGTGGATTTTGAAGCCTATCAAGAAATAACAATAACCGCCGAACCCTCCTACTCCAACTCCCACTCATCCAAAGGGTAAAAACCGAAGGAGGCCTCAAAAATTGTGCTTTATACGATATCGAATGTATGTTTTGACATAGCCAGCGAGCTTTTCGCTCTTGCCTCTAATGACTTGGAAACGTGAATCCTTACACATCAAAGAAGCAATCAGTAGTTTTTAATTTACACAGAGAGAATCCAGACTGAAATGTCTTTAAAATCTATCCACTTTTCCATTCAGTGCAGACACGATTTTCTATAAGAATCAGAATCTCTTGTTTTCTCCGTCAGAAATCGTTGGATCCCTTTGGCCTTCATAAACTTTAAGTGAGTCTTCATGGCAATGCCAGGCCGATGGCCATAAATTTCTAGTTTACTTTGCACCCGGTCACCCGGCTGAAGAAGGCCATTAAAAAATTCCTGGCCATATCGAGTGACGGGCCTGGAGTGTCTGGAGCGCTTGTTATGACCACGGGATGATGCGATGCGCATTGCTCATTAACACGAAACTAATTAATTGCGCAATTCAACTAAACTATCGTGTAGCAAAATGAGAAAACGAAGGAAAAAAGGCCCGGGACAAGTCGCCATTACACGGCCAGACCTTCTTGATTGATCGCCCGACGTCGTCTGCGTGATCTTCGAGGGCTAACGAGGCGCAAGTGGCAAGTGGCAAGTGGTAAGAGTGACTCCGCCATTGCATTTTAAACGCTAATTTATTGTTAACTGCAACATGTTGCCGGTATGCAAAAATGTTGCCCCGGCATATGCAATTAATTGTAACAAGGCCCGCTAGCCAAGCGAGCAACCTTTAACGAGGCTAAGACAGCGACACCGACAGCGATGGCTAAAAGCCCGAGACGGAAACCGAAACTGAAATGGAAACTGAAACTTAAACCAAGACAGGCCATTTCGAATTGGATTGGTAACACTTTCCACCAAAAACTTTAACTGAACACCGACGCGTGTTAGCCCGCTGCAATTTGTTAATTTGAAGTCGTGTTTGGGCAAATGTTTGGCTGCCCCTCGGGAAATTACTTCACTTGAAGAAAATATAGCAAGTTACACTGATTAGACCCAACAGTCTTTTGTTAAATATCCTCAGTGTACAATTTGGTGTGTCAGCCTCTTTGTTACCCTTGCCAAGCGAAAGTTTCGGCCAAGAAAGTACCCGGGCGATATGCGAAGGTGGAAGCGTAATTCATGTGTTGCGGTAATTGCTGGGAGGCACCAGCCGCAGTTGCAGCAGCTGCCACTGCCACCACTGCCACAGTGGCATTAGGCCGGGCCAATTTCGCAGGGAAAGCAGCCACTTACCAACTAGTTCCCCCTTCCGACAGAGAAAACCCACTAGATTGATATTTAGATCGAATCGGGCCATTCAGGCAGGCATTTTCAGCTCCAACTGCCTTATTTGCCACTAAAACTTTGGCTATTCAGTTTATAATTCGAAAGCTTTTGGACTGAAAGTTCGAAACAACATCTTATGAATCTCTGAAATCGCCAAAATCCAAAGGGCCAGAACCCCGAAACGGCGGTCTATGGCAACTATGTAACCATCAATCAGACCAACTCGCTGGGCAACTATTCGGAAAATCAATAAATACCCATAAAGTTGTTGGCGAAACTTTGGCAACGGCTATCTCCCGCAATTCTATATAAGTGCTAGCATTTATCTATCCGCGATATATAGCCAGTCAGGCCAGCGGATGAATGCTGACAGCCAACTAGTTTTTGAATACAAAAATGCTTGCCATAGTTCGGGGAATGTTTTGAAAACTTTTACGCAAAATCCGTGCTGGAAACGAGAGCCTGAAAACCGAGACCGCAGAACGCAAAACGCAGAACGCACAATGGAGCGATTTTCCTCACTGGCTCGAACCCTCCACCCTGTGTTGTAGCCTTGCCCCCTCCACCGGAAAGAGTTTTCCCCAAAAACAGCTGGCTCGGCGAAGCGGCAGCTTGTTTGCGGTTAGCAGTATCTATCGAATGCAGTTGCAAGCCAAGAGTGCAGGCCCAAGATACTAGCAATTTTTCGGTGGTAAATAGTTGAGAGTTGTGCATGTTGCAAGGCCTGTCGCTGCGGTGTGGCAGGCACACACACACAGATAGGCAGATACCCAGATGCAGATACAAATCATTGGGCTTTATGACACCGGCAACATATGTCGCCGCTCAAAATATTTAACCGCAGCAGAGCTTTTCGAAAATCAGCAGCTACACTTTGATTAATGGCAGCATTCAATGGTGTACAACTGCGAGCATTCAACTGCATGTATCCATCAGATACGTAGTTTGTCAACGACGCTTTTCCCCAACAAAATCATCAATTAATGCTCTATTAATAGAGGCTTTTCCCCATTCCCCCCTGCCCGTTTTGCGGAGGTGGGGTCCCAACACTTAGGGTCCGACATGTGTTAGTGTCAACTTGATTGAACAGACAAGAAAGTGGGGAACAAATATCCATTTAAAACAAAAAAAACTTGGTCAAGCCATGGAACCAGCGACACTCTATCTAGAGACTACTTCTCTACCCATTTACTTGACTTTTGACTTTACCATTTATAGCTTGGCATCAACCCCATCAGACAATCATTTATGCATTTACCTTAATGACATTACCCGTTCCCATAAGTCAGTTTAATTGCTGCCAAATTATGGAGCCATTTAAAATTCAATTCATGGCCCAGTTCGGTTTGAATTAATCAATCAAAACCGAGAAACCCTTAGCATACTTTGGTTTGTAATCAAAAAAAAGGAAAGAAAAAAAGCCAGACATGTGTGCCTCAACTCTTTGATTCGAAGGTCGCGCCAGCTAATTTACTGGCCATAATTAGCATGGGCCAACGAAATGTTTGGGAACATTTTACAGTATTCCAAGCTGAGGCATTTAGTCATATTTTGGGATGGGCCAGGGCGAGTGAGTTTGTGGCATATGCATTAACCCACTGACTGGCACGCAACTGCCTTGTTAAAGCCACACTGGAAAATATATTTCTAAGGAGGTTCAAGCTCTTTCTATTTTGAATATCGAATTATATAAATATTTCTTCAAATGTTACGGTGGCAGTCGGTAATAGGTGCGGTCATGACCACTAGTTCATTTGAAAGAGAACAAGATTCTTTCATAATTAGCCAAGACGAAGAACGGTGGGCCACTTTGAGAAATTTGTTGGGGCGATCATTGAATGCCATCATCGACGAAACCCTCCTCTGATTTCGTCTGCAACCCAGCCAGCTGGGATGCCATGAACTTTGTACAAACACCGCACGCTCATCTTAAAGATGCAAAAACTTTTACATTTAACCGCATTTATGGGGCTTCTGCCAGCTGCTGTTGTTTCTCCGATCCCAAAAATTTTTCCAAGACGGGGGCATAGGTAGAGGACGGGAGCAGAAAAAAGACCTTTGGAAGCTTTCGAAAAGATTTTCACCTTTTATATTAGATGCCGAGGCGAAAGTTTATTGTTTTCCTCAAGTTCGCGCTAGGCATCCAAGGCGGGCTGGAGCACTCCATTTCCATTCCCGTTGCCATCATTTCCATCTGAAAGGATAAGCCAGGAGCCCGGGGTCTGGAGTCCGGGAGTCCGGAGTCCAAAGGATTCCCCGCACACAGGCCATATGTAAAATTGATTCGCCTTCACTCCTCGTGAGTAGCTGCCGTTTGTTTGCTTTGTTTAGGGATAATCCCATACATTAGACCTGTGTAAGGGGCTTGTTTGAGTTTTCCTTTTGCCGAACGAAGGATGTTTTTCCCCGTTTTTTATTCGCTTTGTGTGTGTTTTTTGGCTAAAAACTGATTCTCAAGGTATTTCTGCATTCTGAGAAAATTTTATAGCCATAAATGCGCCAGATTTGCGTTTACTCGAGAGGATTACCTCCATGCCCACCCCAACTCCAACTCTCCGACGAGGGAGCCAAAGTTTCCGAATTCAC